AAAAAAATCTGAAATTCATTTGTCCTTTTTGATGTTTTCAAGTGCTACAGATGAAGCGTGGCGACTATTGTCTACTTATCTAGACAGGTACAAAGTGCAGAATAACTTATATCACCACTGTGTAATCAATAAGCTCTTGTCCCATGGAGTGCCTCTGCCCAATTGGCTTATAAACAGTTACAAGGTATGTAACATCTTAACTTGTTGAGATTAAGAACCTGCTCTTTACCATTCTAAATAACTTCATGAGATAATTTTTTAAAAAAAAAGGTTTGATAATTTATGGAAACATACTGAATTAAATACCGTGGGCAGTTTCTCAGTCATAGCTAAAATCACTAACAACAATGCCATACCATGGTATTTAAAGTTCCACTGGTTACTAATTAGATAAATGCCTGCCTATATGCTAAATGGATAATGAGCATATGTTCCGAATAATGAGTATATGCAGGACATAGTTTCTACTGTTAACTTAAAACATTCATGTCAGTATGTGGAGTAGTTTCAAATGCAACAGTTTGTTTAAATTGGTATTGTCAAAATTGAGTTTGTGGATGATCTATGAGTCAGGTTATCATTACCATAAAGAAATAACCTTTGGCCAGATGCAGTGGCTTGGGAAGCTGAGATAGGAAGATCGCAAGTTCAAAGCAACAGTGAGGTGCTAAGCAACTCAGTGAGACCCTTTCTCTAAATAAAATACAAAATAGGGCTGGGGATATGGCTCAGTGGTCAAGTACCCCTAAGTTCAATCCCTTGTACCCAAAAATAAATAAATTTAATTTAATTTTTAAAAAATAAAAGAGAGGCTGGGATCGTGGCTCAGTGGTGGAGAGCTTACCTAGCATGGGTAAGGCACTGGGTTTGATTCTCAGCACCACATACAAATAATAAAGGTCCATCAACAACTAAAAAATACTTTAAAAATAAACAAATACATAAATGAGAAAGAAATAACTTTGGGCTGGGGATAGAGCTCAGTTGGTAGAGTGTTTGCCCCACAATCACAAGGCCCTGGGTTCAATCCCCAGCACCACAAAAAAAGGAAAGAAAGAAATCACCTTGCCAGACACAGTGGCACACACCTGTGGTCCCAGCAGCTCAGGAAGCTGAGGCAGGAGGATTGCACTTTCAAAGCCAGCCTCAGCAATTAGCAAGGCCCTAAGCAATTTAGTGAGACCCTGTCTCAAAGTGAAAAGGACTAGGGATGTAGCTCAGTGATAAAGTGCTCCCTGGCTTAATTCCCTAGTACTAAAAAAACAAATCACCTTAGGGCTGGGGATGTACCTTGGTGGTAGAGTTGTCACCTAGCAGCACCATCCCCAGTACTTCAAAAGAGAAACAAAAGAAAAACCTGAGGCAGGCTAACTTTATAAAGAAAGAAGTTTAGGGGGCTAGAGATGAGGCTCAAGTGGTAGCGCGCTCGCCTGGCATGCGTTAGGCACTGGGTTCGATCCTCAGCACCACATAAAAA